TATACCCCCATCCCGTACGGACCCCACCCCATTTATACCCCCATCCCATACAGACTCCATCCCATTTATATCCCCATCCCATACAGACTCCACCCCCATTTATAACCCCCATCCCGTACGGACCAAGACCCTGGAGTGGAAGGTCGGGCCACAGTTTAGCAATGCCAGTCTCTGTGCCACACCCCTGGCAAGCTGTTCTATTTGATTCCCTGCCTTGTCACCCACCCTGCCAACTGGCCACCCTTCGACTGTCGAAGTTAGCCAAGACTACCTTCACCGAGCGAACCCTCCGCTCTCCGTTTCACACACTGTTCATCAAAACTGTAACATCAGAAACATTCTACAGTCCAAGACGTGGATTAATCTAAGAATTCTACAACCATTTTGACCACTGAGCCAGGACGATATCGCTCAAACCCTCGCGCTCTTGATGGCTCTAAATTAGACATGGGTTAAGGCCATTCAGCCTCTCCAGGCTGTTCTACCATTCATGGTTGTTCTACATCCCATAGAAGGAGTTACAATAGACCTCGCGGCGGAGTGATTTCCCCCCCCCTGTTTTCCAGAGTGGTTGTAAGGTGGTGTAGTCATGTGCTAGGCTTGTTACACCAGTGTGAAAAGTTGCTGTCTATCTTCCCAATCCTTTCTAAGCAGCCTGCAAGTTTGTCTGTTGTTGGGGGGTCCAGAACAAAATGATGGTCCTTTTATTTCAGTAAAGGTGAAGTGGCCATACTCCCAGAGGGACACAGGGCTGCTCTCTCATTAGAGAGGGATGACTGGTGGTGGTTTAACCTGAGGGTCACCGTGCCTCAGGGGGGAAGGGAAGAGGTTGAAGAGGGGAGTCCTTCACAGTAACCTCAGCCTGTGTGGGAATTGAACCCACGCTGTTAGTGTCAGTCTGCATTGCAAACCAGCCATCCAGCCAACTCCGCTAACCAGCCTCCTTACTCTGCTTAGTAACACCAGGGCTGCTCCTGTTGGAATGAGATTGAATCTCCTGCAGGTCAATACTGTTGTTTAATTTGGACTGAGGCAGTGTGTGTGTCTGTGTGTGTGTCTGTCTGTGTGTGTGTCTGTCTGTGTGTGTGTCTGTCTGTGTGTGTGTGTGTGTGTGTGTGTGTGTGTGTGTGTGTGTGTGATCTCTGGCCTCCCAGCACCTGACGGATTCTCCTGCCCGCTCTCTTCCCACAGATTGTACAGTACATTGGGGAGATCTGCCGCTACTTGCTGAGCCAGCCGGAGCGGGCGGTGGAGAGACAGCACCGTGTGCGAATGGCCCTGGGGAATGGCCTACGCCCGTCCATCTGGGAGGAGTTCACTTCCCGCTTCCACATCCCTCAGGTCGCTGAGTTTTACGGAGCCACGGAGTGTAACTGCAGCCTCGGGAACTTCGACAACAAGGTGGGGGGAGGGTGGGCAGGGAGATGTGGGGGTGGGGGTGAGGGGAAGAGGGTGGGCAGGGTGACCTGAGAGCTAAGGTTTACCAGACTGATTCCTGAGATGGAAGAACTGATATATGGACAGAGACTGAATCAGTTAGGATTATATTCGCTGGAGTTTAGAAGAACGAGGGAGTAATTTCATAGAAACCTATAAAGTTCTAACAGAGCTAGGCACAGGGTAAACGCAGGAAGGATGTTCCCAATGACTGGAACCAGGGGGTCATAGTCTGAGGATACAGAGTGGGCCATTGAGATGAGGAGAAATGTCTTCACCCAGAGAGTGGTGAGCCTGTGGAATTCTCTGTCATAGAAAACAGTTGAGGACAAAAAACTATTGAATGTTTACCTTCAGTATCAAGGTGCTGGGAGAGATCTGGAACGGGGAGAAGAGAGGCAGGTTTGGTTGGTGCGGGGGGGAGTGGATGTGGGGACGCGGTTGGGGAAATAAAAGCAGGAGTCGAGTATCTGACAATTGGCCATTAAAAACATCTCACTGTGTCCTGGTGAGACGGGAGGAATCTGTTCAGCCCAGTCAGTCCGATTTCCCCATAGTCTTTCATGAGAGATGTACAATCCCTACAGTGTGGAAAAAGGCCATTTGGCCCATTGAGTCCACACTGACTGTCTGAAGAGCATCCCACCCGCAGAATCCCCACACCCCCTCCCTACCCTCTGCCTGTAACCCCACAATTCCCATGGCCAATACACCCAACCTGCATAGCTTCATGGAAACTCTCACAGATACAGGGAGAATGTGCAAACCCCACACGGAAGGTGGTATCGAACCCGGGTCCCTCGTGCTGTGAGGCAGCAGTGCTAACCACTGAGCCACTGAGCCGCCCCTCTCTGGGGATGAAGTTCCTTTCCCTCAAATGTCAAGCTTTGTGCTGCAGAAATTCTGGAATATTTTCTGACCGCCTTTCCCAATAAGCTGCTGGGAGTTTCTGTGGAGCTGTTCTTTCCGATTTTCTCTCCCAAATTTGCTTCACACGTTAGCGGCCTCCCTGCCCTCTCCCCACCAGCTCAGTAAAACAGGCAATCCCCATGCGCTGCTCCAGCCCTTCGGTCCTCGGAGAAAGCTGAACAGCTCTAGCTCTGGCCTCTTGTGGATCCCTCACACCCTTCATCCTGAGCCTACAGATGCCTGAACCTAATGCTCTGGAATTCCCTCCCTCCCTCCACCCCACCAACTCCCTCTTCTCCTTAATGCCGACCTCTCTCACTGAATTTTTGGTTAATCTTCTCCGTTGGGCTGGCTGTCTGTTGTTATTGTTGGATTTCATTCCTGTGAAGCACCATGGGACATTTTACCATATTCAAGGTGCAGTATAGAAACATAGGAGCAGGAGTGGACCATTCAGCCCTTCGAGCCTGCTCTACCATTCAGTATGATCATGGCCGATCATCCAGCTCAGTCCCCTGTTCCTGCTTTCTTCACATACTTTTTGATCCCTTTAGCCCTAAGAACTGTATCCAATTCCTTCTTGAAAACATTCAATGTTTTTTTGGCCTCAACTGTTTTCTATGACAGAGAATTCCACAGGCTCACCACTCTCTGGGTGAAGACATTTCTCCTCATCTCAATGGCCCACTCTGTATCCTCAGACTGTGACCCCCTGGTTCCGGTCATTGGGAACATCCTTCCTGCTTTTACCCTGTGCCTAGCTCTGTTAGAACTTTATAGGTTTCGATGAAATTATTCCCTCGTTCTTCTAAACTCCAGTGAATATAATCCTAATTGATTCAGTCTCTGTTCATCTATCAGTTCTTCCATCTCAGGAATCTGGTAAACCTTGGTTGCACTTCCTCCATAGTTAGAACATCTTCCCTCAGGTAAGGAGACCAGAACTGCACACACACACCACTCCAGGTGTGGTCTCGCCAAGGCCCTGTACAATTGCAGCAAGATATCCCTGCTCCTGTATTCGAACCCTCTCTTTCTATGAAGACCCATGGCCCATTTGTTTTCTTCACCACCTGCTGCTCCTGCATTCTTACCGACAGTGGCTAGTGTACAAAGACTCCAGGTCTCATTCCAGCACTGCCCCCCCACCCCCCACCCAATCCCCATTTCCCAATCGATCACCGTTTGGATAATAACCCACTTTTGCAGCAATAACCTGACATTTATCCACATTATATATTTTGTCTGCCACATATTTGCCCACTCCCTCGACTTGTCACGTTCCATGAATACAATTTGTTGTCGATAAAATACTTCACGACTTTCTGGAACCTTCCGCCGAGAATCTGCTGCTGTGTTTGTTGAGGGTGGAACCACAGTCTGGTTGGTGTCAGGTTGGCCAACGTTTCTCTTCAGACATTGCAGCAAAGTAACAATTTGCGGTGAAAAATGTGGCGATTAATTTTTTTTTTCTTTTTTTCTGCTGGCACGGGAATCAGGGTGGTTTGCTGAGATCTTTGAGCCCTTCGAGCAAGATTCCTGAGGCTTACCCACTTTTGTGGCAGGCCACGTGGATCGTCAGGAGTTTGGTGGAAACTGCAGGATGCCAGGCTGTGGTTTAAAAGCTACCTGTCCTTCACTTCCTTTTTGTAGGTTGGTTCTTGTGGATTCAACAGCCGCATCCTGCCATTTGTCTACCCGATCCGATTGGTCAAGGTGAATGAGGACACCATGGAGCTGGTTCGAGGTCCTGATGGTGTCTGCATCCCCTGTAAACCAGGTATCCCATCGGCATCTGGTAACCTAACAACGGGTTTTCACTGTCCATCCTCGGTCTGTGACCAAAATAGGACCAAACGCCTCTTGGTGTTAAGAGAGAAAATCTCTCAGGGGTTTGTGGTGTTCAGTGCAGCTCAGGTGTTACTGACTTAAAGAGAGAGAGAGATGGAGAGAACATGGGTGTGTGCACATGCGTGTGCGTGTATATACGTGTACACAGGTATGCACATTGTGGTCAGGCTCAGCCTTCATTCCACCTAGAGTCAAAAAACCTCCTAAAACTCACCTGTTAGATTCACCATATTGAAGGAACAATCAGACAATGTAACAGAATGTTGGAACAGCCCTCACCTGAGCTAGGGGCTACAAGGAGGCAGAGAATCATCATCCTGAGGGTTTCCAATGACCCAGGGACTGAACTGGACCTGCCGTACAATTACTGTGGCAACACAGCAGGTCAGAAAGTGAGGTTCTGTGGCCAGTAACTCACCTCCTGACTCCCCAAAGCCTCTCCACCGTCTACAAGGCACAAGTGATGGAATACTCCCCACTCGCCTGGATGGGTTCAGCCCCAACAGCATTCAGGAAGGTCCACGCCACTGGAAGAAAGCAGCCCCACTTGATTAACATCCAGTCCATCACCTTGAACGTTCACCCCCACTACTGAGAATGTACAGTGGCAGCAGTGTGTACCATCTACAAGACGCACTGCAGCAACTCACAAAGGGTCCTTTAAACAGCACCTTCCAAACCAGCGACCTTCAAACACTTTCAAGCAGCCTGGGACACCAGGTTCCCTTCCAGGTTACTCACCATCCTGAACCAGAAATATATTGTTGTTCTTTCAGTGTTGCTGGGTCAAATTCGAAGAACACACAGAGCACTTTCCTGAGGACAGTTAGGGAGGGCCATCCAGGACTGGCCCAGCTAGTAACAGTCATTTTGTGATTTTATTACTGGGTACTGTCCCTCCCATTCTGTCCATGGGATACACAGCTAGTTGGCATTCTAAGCCACTCTTTGGAGAAGGGTCTAGGCCCGAAACGTCAGCTTTCCTGCTCCTCTGATGCTGCTTGGCCTGCTGTGTTCATCCAGCTCTACACCTTGTTATCTCTAAAGTTCTTTTTATCTTGTTTTTTGCGAAAAGAGATTTCTTTCACACCCTGCCTTACAGGTGAGTGGTGTGGCCTGGCAGATGTCAGCAGGATGTGTGGGATGGCGGGGGTGGGGGGGGCAGTTTGTCGAGGAGTGAACCCACCCCCTAGGTGGGGGATGTTGGCGGCAGTCTGACCAACAACTCGGTTTCCCCCCCCCCCCCTCCCCAGGTGAGGCGGGTCAGTTGGTCGGTCGGATTGTCCAGAGTGACCCCCTGCGGAGGTTCGATGGATACGTCAATGAGACAGCGACCACCAAAAAAATCGCACGTGACGTGTTCAAGAAGGGAGACGCTGCCTACCTGTCAGGTAAGGCTGGGGTGGGGGGGTGCCCGTGGGGGAGGGGACGTGGCAGGGGATGAGGGGAGGGGACTTGGGGGGG